GCCCGGCCCGCCCCCGCCGACCCCCGCGGAATAAGCGGGGCCGGGAGCCCCGGAAACCCGGCGCCTTAATGCAATAAACAGGAAATCGCGGGGATGATCTGGGTTCCGGGGGAAGTGGAATTATTTTTTACCAGCGAAGAGATCAACTTCCACATCCGGTGGTAACAGGGCCCTACACAGACCCGCACTGACCTGGAAAAGCTTCGGGAGCGGCGACGGGGGAGCAGCAGGAGGTGGTGCGGGGACCCGAGGCGCCTCGTACCCGGCCGGGCTGACGCGGCCCCGCTACAAACAAAGCGCTTCAGCTGCACAGGGCGCTATTTTCCGAAAATGCCGCGTCTGGTCGGCGCCCAAAATCCCCACCGAAAAGTCCCCCGTGCTGCGCGCGGAGGGACACATGGTGTGCGAGTGAGGCGAGCTCCCAGCATCCCTCCCGGACCGGCCCTCGTCAGCCCCGCGCCCCGGGCCTCTCCGCCCCTACTCTCGTCCGCAGGCCCCATTCCCACCCTCTCCGGGACCCCAGCCCGACGGGAGAGAAGGGGCGAGCGCTCTGACTGTTCTTTTTAACGGAGGGGAGGAAAATACGCCATTTGAAGCGTTTCGGCCACACAAAGAAAGCGCGGAATGATCCGCTCGGCGACCGCAAGTCTGACCCGCTGGGCGCCCGCAGGTCCCGGCTCGTCCGGCGCCTGCGCGGCAGCGCGGGTGGGAGCTGCAGCCGGCCATGTGCGCGGCGGGGCCGCGGAGCGGCCGCGGACCTTCCCGCCTCTTTCCGCGGTGGGTAGGAGTTTGGAAACTCCTGTGCGTGTGCTAACCTTGGTGTGTTTCCGACATGACGGTTGAAAGGCGGGGACTGCGGCGTCTTCGGAGTTTAGACTTGCCAGCCGAGCTGTCTAGCAGGATCCTGGGACACGGAAAGGGCAGCCGGGAGGCCAGCGTGTACCTTAAATTGGCCCTAGGTCCGAGTAGGCCGACCGGAACAGGGGTCGCTGTGGGGGCACCGGGAGTGGGGGGGAAAGCTAGATATGTTCCTTCTCTATTCTGCGGAAACTAAGGCGTCAGTATTAAGAAAATGATGTACTTTTTTTTTTAACCTTCTGATAGTGCTTAGTACTTCGTAGACCCTAGTTAACTGGTCGCAGAATTCCCTGTTATCAGGTAGAGCTCTCTTGGTTAAATGTCAAGATTTAGTCGAGTTGTAGTTAAGAAGTAAAGCTTATTGAGAGGTGGGCATTTAGAAAGTAAAAATCTTGTGGAATCTAATTTACATGTGATTTGCTGAGTACCTGAACTCGCCGCTATGTGTTTAATAGGGGAGCTTGATGGCTTTCCCAGCTTAGTAACCATGGAACTTTGGCATCCTGTATCTACGAATGGGAACATCTGAGGCAGGGTCAAGAGTTGTCTCCAAGCAAGCTGACAAGCTTACGTGAGATTCAGATCACCCTCTGATTTTGCGTGGCCTCAGCTAAGTAATCTTTTTCCACTACCCCTTTTCAATATTGGTGTAGTAAAGATTTGTAGTCTTAGGTAAGGCATTAAAGCATTGCCTAAAATAGAAGAAAAGTAGCACGGAGCCATAGTCTATTCTCTTGCTTATTATTTATGATGCTTTGAAAAAGAAATTTGCCCAAATTTTGATATTGATTTTCTTTAACACTGAATTTATTTGAACTTCAGTTAATGGTTGGTACAGAGCCCTTGCTCTCATTGGTTTTATTGAGCTGTAGAAGCAGATGAGAGAGATCATGAATAGTATGATGAGGGTAAACTGCTGAATACTGTGAAATAGCATAGAGGAGGCATTCCTAACTAACTGGGAGAAAGGAATGAAAATGGACTGGAGAAATGGTTAGCTGTAATAAGGCAATTGGAGGAAGCAATAAGTTTAAAGGTTAGGAACCAAATGCTAGAAAGATTGTTGGGTAAGGAAGATAGTGCTGTTTCAGGCGTGTGTAGGTATGTTCCTGTACAAGTCTAGTTGTGATGGCCTTGAATGCCATGTTCCATTAGCTTCTGAGAGCCAGGAGGAAGTGAAACAACTTAGTGTCATGAGCGTGAATGTACAGTTAGATTGCTATTCTGCAAAAGTAAGACAAAATGCTTCAGTTAAAACAGTAGTAGTGGGAACCAGCAGTTAGCGTAATGGCTATGTCGCTGGACTCCCACGTAGTCGACCACGGTTCGTGTCCCGGACCCGGTGGCTTAAAACTCACGCCGGGCGCGTGTGCGTCGTGCCCAAGATCCCGAGAGGAGAATGGAGGAGAAGGGATTGCGGCGTGACCATCCCCCCTGGGGGGTGATTTCTCGCTTTCTGTCTCTATGTCTCTCTCTGTCTGTCTGGCGAGTGCACACGCCCTACAGTGAAAATCTCTCCAAAAAAAAAAAAAACAGTAGTAGTCTGAGCAGCTTGGACTGACTTAGCAGCAAATAGTGAAAATGACTAGTGTTTATTGCAAGCTTAAATATTTAGTGCACTGAGAGGGACATGTTAAAGATGACCCTCAAATGTGCTAGTGGAGCACATGAAAAGTAGTATCTTCGCTGAGATTAAAAACAAGGGAAGAGGAACTTATATTATGGAAGGAAAAAGGTTCTGTTTTGACCGTGTAGAATTTAAATTACCTCTGACCCAGCCAAGCAGATATGCGTAGTCAGCAATTAGATATTCAGTACCTGTTGGAAAAGCACCCACTCTGTGCCTGGCACTTTTTTTTTACTTTTGTTTTTCTTTTTTTCTTTTTTTTTTTAATTTGCCATAGCACATGTGCTGAAGAAAGAGAAAGAATGAGAAAACACCCCCCTGGGAGAATAGCAATGCCACAATTTCCTTTTTCTCTCAGGATTTTGGGCACATACCCACATGCACTCAGTGTGTTCTCAAGCCACCTGATTTTGTACTACATGTACCCAGTGTGTTCTCAAGCCACCTGATCTTGTACTCAGACTGGTCATTTGGCCACGAGAGCCATCTGCCTTCACCACACTGCCTGCTGGCCTTGCCTGGCACTATTCTACACACTAGAATATGAGAAGCAGCAGCAAGACAAACAGGATTGCTGCTCCCATTTCTAGTGGAGGGAAACTTAAACAAAGAAGATGGGCCACCCAGGTGGCGTGGAGGTTGAGGCAGCTGGATCCAGTGTAACTGACTGTGCACTTTTTGAGTCCTGGACTGAGTGGCTTGAAAACATGTATATATGGGCACCCAAAATCCCTGGAGAAGGAATTGTGGTGTGACATCCCCTGCCCACCTCCCTGGGATGCTTCTCACTTTCTCCACCCCCTCAGTACACACACCCTGTAACACATTAAAACAAAACAAAGAAGAAAAATAACCATAAAAAGTTCATAAGATAAAAGGGTGGAGCCAGCAGGTGGCATGGTGGTTAAGACAGTGGATCCCACATGGGTGACTCCACAGATTGAGTCCTGAACCCAGCAGCTTGGAAAATAGCCAAGGTGTGTGTGTATACACATGGGCAGGTGCCCAAAATCCCAAAAGGGGAAGGGATTGCAGTAGCATGGCCATCCTCCCTGGGAGGTGATCTCACTTTCCCTCCCTGTGTCTGGAGCACACATGTGACCTATGGCAAAAAAATCTTTTGAAGAAACAAAGTGTTGGTTGGTGATTTCCTGGGGTAGAGAGCAGGCAAAATTTTGGTGGTAGGTCAGAAATGCCCTCACTGAGAACATATGTTCTGAGCTGACACCTTACTGGGAAGAAATTAAAAGCAGCATGTAAAACCAAAGGTAATAACAGGGCAAAGGCATGGTAGGCGATGAGGTTGTTTTGTTTTGTTTTTGAGAGAAAGATTTTTGCTGTAGGGTGCGTATGCTCACAGGAGAGAAAGTAAGAAATTACCCCCGAGGGGTGATGACCATGCCACAGTCCTTTTTCTCATCTAGGGTTTTAGGGCATGCACATACACATTCCCAGTGTCAGTTTGAATCCACAGTGTCAGGACTCAATTGTGTTGACCATGTGGGGTCCTTAACCACTATACCACTTGCTGGCCTCAAGGAATTCTGTAGCCTTGGTAAGCTCATGCACACTGGAAGCCAGTGGAGGACATTGAGGACTAAGATAAATAGCAGTAGAGATGGAGAAAGTGGATGGATCTGAAATATATTTTATCGCCTGACCTGTCTTATTTGTGAATCAAAGGTGAAGTGAGAGGGGGCCCACTAGTAGTGGGTTAGTTAAGATGACTGGATCCTACATGGCTGATTGCATGGGTTTGAGTCCTGGACACAGTAGCTGGAAAAAGGCACCAGGTGCATGTGCATGCATGCCTAGAATCTCAAGAAAATGGAAGAGAAGGCATTGCCATCCGTCCCCGGTGGATGTTTACCTCCCCCCTCCCCAGTGACTGCATGTACCCTATAGCAATTTTTTTTTTAAAGATGAAGGGTGAGGGAAAGGAAGGAATCAATAGTGATTTCTAGGTCTTAGATGCAGGCTAGCATGGGCCAGTGGAAATATAGCACTAGCCACATAAGTAATTTCATAGTAGCCTCATTGGAAAAGAAATGTGAGACCAACTTTGTCGCCTGGTGGTTAAGGCAGTCAGATCCTATATGGCCAACAGCACAGTTTGAGTCCCAGGCTCAAGAGCATTAGAGATATGCCAGGTATATGTGCATGCATGCCCAGAATTTCAAAGGAAGAGAGAGATGAAAGAGAATTGGTGTGGCCATTGCTCTGGGGAAGGTGTT